TCTAATGTAACACTTTTTAGACCTAATGTAACACTTTCTAGAAGTATAAACGTTACATTATGGACTATAAAGAGTTACAATATGTCTAATGCAACATGAGCAAATGTAATGGTAAAAAAATGTTACATTTGTTCTAATGTAACACTTTTTAGTGGTATTGTAACACTTTTGGGCGATACATTAGGGGTTGAAATGTTGTAGTGATATCTTTATTTGACATATTAAGCTTTTTTAATGCGAGTATTTTTTTTATATTAATCGAAAAGAAAATTTTCCACATTTTACTAGCTTAGTAAACTTGTTGATGTAATTTTTAATGTGCACAAATACATTTACTACTACTATTGTTTGACTAAACAAAAAGAAAGAATGACACTCCATCTCTTAGAATTCTCAAGACCGTTCAAGTCTTTGTTTGGAATCGAACTTGGGTCTTTTTTTCATTGTGGCACCCTCTTCTCACCTGTTGAGCTATGCTCGACTCCGATGTTTGATTATATGATATCACATTGTGTGTGTACATACATACATAGTAGATTTACGAAGTTTAAGCTAGGTTTGGATGAGATGTTGAAGGTGTTAGTAATGGAAATGTTAGAAAGGCCTACACGGATAAGGAAGATAAAACAAGTGACCTTATTTGGAAAAGCTAAAGAAAAAAGAATTTTAGTAAGAAAGTGTTTTCACTTCAAATAAAAAAATATATTTATTCTTTTTCAAATTGTATATAAACTAGTTTATATGTGTGTGTGGTGTGTGTGGAGAAAAACTTACATACAGATTAATATAAGTGTTTTTCAAAAATATTATTGAAATAAAACTTATTTACAAAATATCAGGGGAAGGTTGGGTATGCTGCCTTGAAACTCAATATGAGTAAGGCTTATGACCGGGTGGAATGGTCATTTTTGGAGGGCATGATGAAGCAACTTGGCTTTTCTATCAGTGGATTAATATTATTATGGAGTGTGTGAGATCAGTTACCTACTCTATTCCTTTTGAGGAAGTTGAGATAGGACCGATTATTCCTTCTAGGGGCTTGCAGCAAGGGGACCCATTGTCTCCCTACCTATTCATTGTGATTGTTGGGGGATTAGCGCTCTGCCGAGGAAACACGAGCATGGGGCGTATACATGGAGTGGCGGTTGTTAGAGGGGCGCTGAGGATATCTCATCTTCTGTTTGCAGATGATATACAGTTTGCTATTGTTTCAGGCTAATCATGGAGAAGCATAGGTAATTAAGGAGATTCTCCACGATTATGAGGCGACATTTGGACAGGTAGTCAATTTTAATAAATCTAAAGTTCTTTTCAGCACCAATGTCTCTAATGATTGTATAGAGGGTCTGGTGGAGCTGATGGGAGTGGGACCGAGGCCGAGTGGCCGACATGCGGGTGTGGAGGAATAGTATTTGGGACTACCTGCTCTCTTCGGTCAGATAAGAGAGAAATTTTAAATTATTTGAGACATCGAGTGTTTAGGATTATTCAAAGCAAGAACAACAGGTTTCTATCCCGTGCAGGCGGGGAGGGCTCCTAAAAACGGTAATTCAATCCATGTCTTTATATGCAATGAATGTTTTTCTTCTCACGACATAACTTTGTAAGGAGTTAGAAATTATTATGAATGAATATTGGTAGATTGGTCATACAGGGAAAGGTATTAGATGGAGGAAGTGGGAGGCTCTTTGCAAGCTTAAAAAATTTGGCGTGCTGGGATTTAGAAGAGTACGGCAATTTAACATTGCTATGTTGAGAAAACAGACATGGAAATTATTTTTGATCCTAACTCGTTGTTGGCGGAGTCTTTAAAACACACTATTATCCTAAAGGGGGTTCTATTTCAGCAAAGTTAGGAACTTAAAGTGGTTGACCATATTTCATTGGGGGGTGGCAGCTGGGATAAGGACTTAATGGAGGAGCTCTTCAACAGCAGGGATGACGTGTTAATTCGTAGAACTCCTTTGAGCAGGAGGGCTGTGCCGGACCGAATCATCTGGAAGGGAGAGGAAAATGGCAAGTTCTCGATCCGGAGTTGCTACCGGAGGCTATATGGAGAGCTGCATAGAATGGATGGTGGGGATGGACCGATGGACAGCACTTTGGAGTTGGGATATTCCACCCAACATTAAAACTCTCCTTTGGCAGATTTGCAGCAGAACACTACCCACGACGGCGAACCTTCCGAGAAGACGGATTGCATGTGCGGAGCGATGCGAGATGTGCAGGGCAGAAGATGAATCATTTATCCATCTCTTTGTTTTGCGTCTAGATGCTCTTGCTGCGTCGGAGTCGGTTGCTGGAGTTTTGGCAATGTACATGGATTGTTTTTTTTTTTGGACTGTCTTCATGAGGTGTTTGAGAGCAAAAAAGGGGATGAGTTGTGCAAAGTAGCTTGGGGATGTTGGGGAATTTATTTCGAACGTAATAGGCGGGTGTGGCAGGAAGTGGGATGACAGTTGTTCTCTGTTGGACGTTGAACTCCTGGGTATTCGAGAAGTTCTAAGTTGGCGGAAGGATGAGGCATTGGATTTTGTGGAAATCGAGTCAGATTCTTTGTTGGCGATTTCTAAAATTCAAATGGGATCAAGCTTGTCTTCACGAGGTCTGTTGGCAAAGGACATAAGCGAAGTGAGCTCGGGGTTCAATAATATTTCATTTTCTTTCATTAGACGGTCAGCAAACAGAGTTGTTCATGTGTTAGCTAAGGTAGTAGCATGTTCTTTGTCTGATAGTCATGTTTGGGCGAATTCACCCTCGAGTAGTATTATGGATGTTTTATCTTATGATTTGATTAATTATGATTAAAATGACATCTTTCAAAAAAAAACTTATTTACAAGCATAATTCCTATGACTAAAGTAACTATGAGCATATAGTATCATGGCCATTTAAATACCAAAAAAAGGATTTAAAATTATATAACTATGGACATCTTTACTCTTAAGATGTCATATCATATAAACAACTTTGGCTTTATTCATAAATATATGATTATTTCTTTCGATAATCAATTTTCAAATTATAATTTTCATTTAAGGAAAAATTACATATTCGTGACTAAATAAAGAATGTTTACAAAAGAGTGAATTTTAAGAGTAGCATTGAGTTAATACTATAGAAATTGCCTTAAATAGGAGTAAAATCGTTTTGGAATTCCAAAATAGGACTTTCATGTTTTTATTCCCTAAATAGGAGTAATTCTGTCAAGTTTGGGGAAAAATATCATGTTTAAAGTCTAGTAATGTCAAACTTGATAAAAATTTACTTCTATTTAGATAATAAAAAACATGATATCCTCTCTAAAAAAACATGATAATCCTATTTTGGAATTTCAAAACCTTTTTACTCAAATTTAGAGAATTCTCTATTAATACTAACATTAGTCGATCCTCAACAATTAGAGCAATACCGTACCTAGTTTAGTGCATAATTATAAAGTTGGTGAATTTTCATCCTGATTTTCACCTTTTTACCATATTATTCGGTCCTCACTTATTTTCATTTATATTTTCTCCATCAAATACAGACACAGACCTTTCGTATACCACCCAAGGCCATATTCATAGCCACAATTGCAAAGCAAGAGAATCAATTGATGTGGAAGATGAAAATTACTCATTGTCACTGTTACTAGATTCATATTGATACATGTAATAGCTTACACGAGAGGGATAAGAACAATGGATACGACCTTCGAAAACGTTAGAAATTGATCGGCTCATATTTGACTTGAGAAAATTAAGATGGAAAAAGTAGAAGACAACTAAACTTGGTAAGCAAGTTAAAGTGGAGAATCAAAACTAGTCAAATTAATAGTCTTGGTTCAAATTGGTATTGCCTCAATGGTTTAGGACTATTTCTAATCATAGTAACTATATGTTCATTTTACAGTATATGACCAAATTGTAGTAATATTTTTAGTCATAGTACTAATGTATAACTTTTATTTTTGTTGTAAAAATTGAACACATAATAACTATGTGTTCAAATTATAGTATATGATCATTATAATAGTAACTTTAGTCATAATAACTCATATTCAATTTTTACTTTTGAGTGATCATAACATTATACAATATTTTAGTAAACAAATCGTTCATTAGTACACTTACAACATAATCCAGAACTATAATGATATTACACCACGGTAACTTTTAATCATATTTTATAAAATTAATTGTTTTCAGAATTATTTAAAACACATAAAACTTTAATATTACCTCAGTCTCATTCAATGGTTCTCATCCACTATTCTCCGATCAACTTAAGGTCTTCTTAATCTTTTATTTTGTACGTCTGACTTTTATCAAATTTGAGTTTCTCTTTAGCGACTTATTAAATTTCTAATGTAGTTCTGAATATGTAATTTTTATTTACAAAAAAATTAAGTATGAATAAGGATTAGTTAATTTTATGGGTAGTGAAACATCATAAAATATGTGATTTTATAATTAGTCAAACATCGTAAACTGTGTGAAAACCTTTTTTGATATTTAGATCCCATTTGGTGAATGTGTTTTTGACTTATTAGCCAACTCTTTAATCAAATATGTAATTTTTGATTTCACACGCTGAATTGTGTAATAATAAGAAGAGGTGTGGTTTAAGTTACTTTTTCTTTTGCCAACAAAAAGTTACTTTTTCTGATTGTATTTGTTGAAGTTATTGTGGATGATTATTTTAGTCATTTTTTATAAATCAGCAAATCAGTGAATACACTCATTTCAATCAGAACTTCATAAATTTCAGTAGGATCGCAGCCAACTGTAGTGTTACCAAAGAGGCCATAATGTCATTTTACGTAGTATACCTCCGTCCCGCTAAGATTGTCCCATTTTATCATTTTGGTCCGTCTCATTAAGATTGTCGCATATCCCTTATTTGGTAAAATTTGTGTGACTCTAAATCATTCTTTTTTTATTCTTACTTTACTAATTCAGTATCAACCATATAAAATATTTTTTATAAATATACGTGTCACTCTCTCTTCCTAAAACTTTCATATGGAGTATTTTATTTATTTTTCCGGATTTGATGTCACCCATATATTCCTCTATGTGCGTAGAAATTTTCCCGGCGAACCCAGAATGAATATCAGTTGATAGAAGTCGGTTAAGTTCATCTATAAGACCCTCCATGATAACTTGGCGGCAACGGTCTAAAGAAGCGATTTATTGAGAAGCAGTTCAATGGGTGTTCACGGTTTGTGGGAACTGTTGGCTCCAGTCGGCCGCAGGGTATCTGTTGAAACCCTGGTGGGGAAAAGGCTCGCAATCGGTATTCCACTCATTTACCAGTCGTATTCAGACGATGAATTTGAACTCACATTCTTTTTGGGAGTAATTTTGTTTTTTCCTGTGTATAGATGCGAGTATATGGATGATTCAGTTCATGAAGGCGATGCGGGAAGAGAAAGGGGATATGGTGCGAAATGCTCATCTGCTCGGCTTTTTCCGTCGAATTTGCAAGCTGCTTTACCTCCGCACTAAACCAGTCTTTGTATTTGATGGAGGCACACCGGCTCTCAAACGCCGAACCGTGATTGCTCGCCGCCGTCAGAGAGAGAATGCTCAGGCCAAGATTCGTAAAACTGCCGAGAAATTACTCCTTAACCATGTCAGATTACTGGGCTTATCTTTCTCTTATTAATTCTATCATTGTTTGAAAGAAAGATACAGTCTTTACCATTTAAGGGTCAGGAAAAACATCACATGACAGCATAGGATTATAGGAAGAGAGAGTAAGAAAAGTTGTTGGTCCAAACTCCAAATTTAATGAATATGGTATTGGTAGTCAAACATAGATTCCTGTAACATCCTGAACTAGATCGAGGCAAGACTTATCTGAGTTTATGATCTTAATTGGCAGCTCAAGGCAATGAGGTTGAAAGAACTGGCTGCAGACCTTGACAACCAGAGGGAAAAGAATGCTTCGAAGGGTAAAAGTGTTGTCTCTGAGGATACAGATACTGTGCAGGAAATGTCTGATGGGCACTGTTTTTCTGCAAATCTTGAGAAACAACAGAATGAGAACGATCCAATGGGTAAAAAAGTTGTTCATGAGGAGTCTGATGCTCCGAAGAAGATTTCACAAGAAAATGCCTTTGCTTCCAATGGTGTCAGTAATCAGAGTGAAATTGATGAGATGTGAGTTACTGATTAATTTAAACGAAATGTTGTGTAAATATGACTAAACATTCACACGTCAATTTGACAAGTTAATTAAGGTTGGCAGCATCCATAGCAGCGGAAGAAGATGATAGTTTTTTCCCTGATGCATCTACATCTGCTGCTGGTGCCAATGAAGATGATGATGAAGATGAGGAGATGATACTTGTGCGTTTTTTATCACCACAATTTCTTTGTATGTTTATATTTGTTCAAGTTACTAATCTAATGTTTAAGGACTGCTTCTATATTTCAGCTATAGAATTTTTTGTTTCGCGAAAGCACCTGAATTTTGATGTACAATTTAGTCCCTTCCTAGCGAATCTTTGATGTCTCACAATTAAGTTCTATGTATGTACCACGTAGTACAACTCAACTATAAAAGCACATAAAATACTTTCTCAATCCCAAAAGAAACACTCACTTGACAGGGTGTGGAGATTAAGAAAATAAAATTGTGGTTGTTTTTTATTTAAAGGAGAGGGATACTATAGGAGTCCCACAATGCGTCCCTTAAAAAGAAATGGGTAATAATTTTGGGAAGGGTGAAAATAAAATGTGAAATTATTAAGGCAGGATTAATACTTTCATGCTTATCTCTGTGAATTGTATATGCCAACAACTTTTATTTGTATGGGCTATACTTTACTTTTTAACTCTCATATCATTATAAGATCAGATTATCATATGACTAATTTGTTTGATATGCAGCCTGCAATGCATGGAAAAATTGATCCCTCTGTTTTAGCTGCTTTACCTCCATCTATGCAACTCGATCTCCTTGTTCAGGTAAAGTTGACTTGTATATAATATATATGAAAACAAGTGAATCATGAAGAGCAACATTCATAGTAGAGTTTTTCTTTTTTCATGCAATATATCGATTCCCCTGTGTTTTTTCTTTTATACCTGATACATTGATCACCTGTTTTGCAGATGAGAGAGAGATTGATGGCAGAAAATAGGCAAAAGTATCAAAAAGTGAAGAAGGTGATTATTCAGAAGTCATGATCAATGGCTGTGCTCTTTCTGATGATGTCTTTTCATTAACATTTAGGGACTAAGCCTGTTGGTTTTCATGCTTTCTGGTTTCTACTTGTCCAAAAAAATCTTGTTAATTGTACTCCACTTCTGATAGAGTAAGGATGCAAGGGAATAAAGATTCGAGAAACATGGTTTATAAAATTGAAAAAATTATGAAGAAACATGTGTAGAATAAGAAAAAAGTAGAAGGTATTCCCCAGCAAGATTAACTATCTCACCAATGTAGGACTGCCAACTAACTTTAGAGTCCCAATTCCATTAATCTCTCAATACCTCCTATTATTAAGGAAACCCTTTTTTATAATTTATCACAATATGTAAAATAATCAGTTAATTAAAAAATTAAGGAAGTAATTTTTAAGTATCTGTGTAATTTATTGACTCCCTTTATATTGCTGATTTTCCTTTATTTCCTACGCCCCTATCAATTTTTCTAATGCTAATGCATTGTGACAGTTCTTTCTAGTTTATAAGGAATGGGAAAAGGTGCAATGGCAACCTAAAATTTATGCAGAATTAGAGTTTATTGATTGTATGGGTGTATGCCAGAAAAGGAATTAGAAGTACTTCTCTGGCATGCAATAAAATGTTTCTGATATTATCACATGTTCGGTCTGGTAGGTGCATGCACTTTAATGTATGCTATTTGCCTTTCAATTTCTTAAACTACAAATACTAAAGGTCCACTGCTGATCGTCTAATAAACATGGGTCCCACTTTTCTTTTGAATAATTTTGCTCATATGGACACACTCATCACCAGGCACCAGAGAAGTTTTCAGAACTGCAAATACAGGCTTACCTCAAAACAGTTGCCTTCCGTCGTGAGATAGATGAAGTGCATAAATCTGCTTCCGGGAAGGGGATAGGCGGTGTAAAGGTTTCACGTATTGCATCTGAGGCCAATAGAGAATTTATATTCTCATCATCATTTACTGGAGATAAACAGTGAGTGGAGACATTGCCACTACATTTATGAACAAGTGCATGATAGGCTCCTTTCATCTCCCTATTTTGAAATATATCGTGCATACATTTTGCAATTTTCTTATGTTTTTTGGTTGACTGTATCTTCCGCATATCTTCTTACTCTTATTAAGTAACTTTATGTGTACTGAATTGCATAATGGTGAATCAATTAGGACCCTTACTTCTGCTGGAGAGAATCAAAATAAGAATCAGAATAACCTTATGGAAACACCAAGGGAAAACTGCTCAGCAACTATGGCAAAAAATGATACTCCTGCTCAGAAATCCAGTGTGGCACTAGAATCTTTTCTTGAAGAACCTGAAGGGATAATTCATGATGATGTTGAAACGTATTTGGATGAGAGGGGACGGGTTAGAGTCAGCAGAGTGAGAGCCATGGGGATCCGTATGACTCGTGATCTGCAAAGGAACCTAGATTTGATGAAAGAGATTGAGCAGGAGAGGGTGGTCCATAATAAAAATGCTTCACACTTGCCTAATGATTCTACTGTTAGCAGCAATACTGCTACTCCACACGAAAAGACCAAGAATCTGAACTCTTCCAACACAAATCATGGGCAGATGACTTGTGGTACTGTCGAAAATGAAGCGTCTCTTTTGAAAAGTGGAACTTCTCTTGAGATATCTTTTGAAGAGGAAAAAGGTCATAATGGTGGGGATGATGATCTATTTGATAGTTTAGTCAGAGGGACTCCAATTTTAGATTTTTCCATAAGCAATTCTGCCTTAGATGTTCAGTGGGAGGAAGGAGACACTCAAGATAATTTGGGGGTGCCAAGTGGGAATTCTGCCTCAGATGTTGAGTGGGAGGAAGGAGACACTCAATATAATTTGGGGATGCAAAGTGATGACTTCCGCGGGGGGAGTGAACTTGCTCTGACAGAAGGCGGTGTGTTGAATGATGAGAGTGAAGTCGAATGGGAGGAAGGATCTTTAGATATTCATAAGGGTGGATTTTCATTTTCATGTGAAGGGAGGAATGCTTCTAAAGGTGATTTGGATGAAGAAGCCAATTTTCAAGAGGCAATAAGGAGGAGTCTCCAGGATACAAAAGATCAAAGGTCAGTTGGAGAATCATCTACAGGTAATGCATCACATAATATTATTGGAGACAGTACCATGGGGACAATTCTTGAATCAGATTGGCAACAAAAAAGTCATTCTAAACATGAACTGGTGGAATTTGAAATTCTTCATCAGCCAGACCCGCATTTAGAATCCTTAACATATATCAAGGCAAATGGTACCACAGATGGCCTGGAGATCACAGACCCAAATAATTCTTTAAATACCCATTTGGATCCAGAATCTATAGGTACTCCGAGGCAGAGGGAGATATTGAAAGGAAAAGCATACGATGATAATGTAGATGCCAGTAACCATGTAGAGACCCAGTTGACAAGACCAGTTATAGATAATATGGGTCAGGGAGGAATATCCACTGGGACAGTATACTCTGAGTCTCAATTTAAAGATCTTGGTGGAAGCGGCAATTTGAGTCCAAAAGTTCTTGAGGAAGCAGGGAATGATTTAGAAGAAATGAGGGAAGGCATGGTTGGAATGCAGAGTGGGCATACAATCAATGAGGAAGCATCAGATGATCTTATATGTGATACTGAACTGAGGAAAACATATCAATCAGTACCAGTTAGTGACACTTGCAGTGCACAAAGATCAGATGAGGAACAAGTACGGGATCGCGATGACATAGTAGGAAAAAGAGACGAGTTTATGGGCTCCCCTGTTGATGGGAATATCCAGAGAGATCATGTAGAGTTTACAGCTGAAAGTTTGGAGGAAGAAATTATTACATTAGGGGAGGAGCGTAAAGAACTGGTAAATGAGCAGAGGCGTCTGGAACGGAATGCAGAATCGGTAACAAGCGAAATGTTTGCCGAGTGCCAGGTAGGCTATCAAATTATATGTTTGGCATTTTGTGTTTCTTGCCTGAGTTGATATGTGTTTAGAAAGGTAACTTGCTGCTGCCTTTTAATTTCACTTTTGTAGAAATTGTGTTTGCAATTATCTACGAAAGATATTATCTCCGGGATGCTCTCTGTAATATGAACACTAGAACTTTGTACATTTATTTTGTGTATTGTGGTTTACCTTATTTTGTGTTTTAGTTATTTTGATAAGGTCATATACTTCCATATTCTTTTATTTTTTTTTATCTAAGAAGCTCTAGTACTTCTCTACTTAGCATCACCTTTCCTGGATTTATTTACCGATTGGAATTGGAACAGATTGCATATGTGATTGTGACTTTTCCCTAATTTCAGGAATTGCTTCAAATCTTTGGCTTACCATATATAATAGCACCTATGGAAGCTGAGGCTCAATGTGCATACATGGAACTTGTCGACTTGGTAGATGGAGTGGTCACTGATGACTCTGATGCATTCTTGTTTGGTGCTCGATGCGTGTACAAAAATATATTTGATGATCGCAAATATGTGGAGACATATTTAATGAAGGTTTTTTTGACAATTTATATTTTAGCAGATTATTCATGTTTTTGAAGGCAATAAACAAAATATGAACTTTAAAGTGTTAAATTGGTTTAGCTGCGTTGGTTTGTCCATCTTTCTCGTTTGCTTATTAGGTGCAACTTTTTCTGTTTTCTAGGACATTGAAAATGAGATTGGATTAGATAGAGAGAAATTAATCCATATGGCAATGTTACTGGGAAGTGATTATACTGAAGGAGTAAGGTAATTTCTTTATACTGTTTTCCAGTGCCACTTCACCCCACACCCATCTGGAGAGAGAAATAAGTCTCTGTCTCGTGCTCCTTATTAAGCCATGCTCGTAACTCCCTCTGTCGTAGTTTATGTGTCCGAGTTGCCTTCATAGGACAATTCTATTCTTCTTCATTTGCTTGATTTCTTAGACATTTTTTTTCATTTTTATTTATTTAATTATGTGTGTTTGAAGTGTTTTTCATATAGTTTCAGAATATATTAATTTATTCTCTAGTACCAATCAAATTATTACAAAAGAATGACAAGATAATATAGTTAGATTTTGGAGACATAAAAATGAAATATTTCTTTTTGTATGATCACTTATAGGTTTCTATGGCAGGGTATTTATATCATTAGTCCTGTGTAAATCTTACCTTCTTTTTCATTAATTGTGTAGTGGGATTGGTATTGTTAATGCTATTGAAGTGTTGAACGCGTTTCCTGAGAAAGATGGTCTTAGGAAGTTCCGGGAGTGGGTTGAGTCTCCTGATCCAACTATTTTGGGTAAGGTTGATGTGCAAGCAGGGTGCAGCTCAAGCAATATTCTTCAGCCTGTTGATGATCATCAAAAGATAAAGCAGATTTTCATGAATAAACATGTGAGATGGTGTTTCCCCTTCTGTTTTTCATATTGATATTTTTGTATTCTGAAATTGATAAATAGAAGAAGACACATTTTTCATTCTTTGTAACATATTTTTCAGAGAAATGTTAGCAAAAACTGGCACATTCCTTCTTCTTTTCCAAGTGATGCTGTAGTTTCAGCTTATGATACTCCACAAGTTGACAAGTCCAAAGAATCTTTCTCTTGGGGGAAGCCAGATGTTTCTGTACTTCGCAAGTGAGTTTTATGTGGCTGTATATCAGTTATGGTCTGTTTGGATGAAGGGTATGGGAGGGTTATAAAGGAAAAACTTATGGAGGGCTTAGTCTAAATTGTGGTAAATAAAATATTTCCTAAAACATACGTAATATAAAAGGTTATTGAAATGGTTACAATCAAATAGTATGTTAGTCCTTCCATTTTTACAAACTGATCCTTCAGCTCCACGTAGGGATGAGTCCTTTTCATTGCTTTCTTAAGTGCCTAGAATGATCTTAAGAATGACACATTACACACTTCAAAGAACTTGAACATCTGTCCAATCACAAACTTTGTATCAGGATCCCTTAAATTTCTTTTAAAGTGTGTGCGCAATATCCTTCACTTTATGGCTCTTCATTTATGTGAATTTTTTTTTCACCAAGAGAATTGAGAACTGTACAGGCTATGTTGGGAGAAGTTTGGATGGACCATCCAGAAGACAAATGAGTTGATAACACCTGTGCTGAAGGAGTACAATAAACATGAGGTTAATCACTTCACCAACTAATGCCCCATCTCATAGTGTACATCCTTTGACAAAATTGCTCTTCTTCTAGATCAAATAGGGACTTCTCATCACATCATGGTTTTATTATAAAACTTGCTATTATTATCTAGTAACTAGTAATCATGATCAGCAATCCTAGGCTTTGTGGAAACGTAATATTGTACAAACTGCTACATCAGTGATAAAGAAAATATTACGTTGTATTAAAAATAAAAATAAAAAATAATACTACCTCCGTCCCACTATGTTTAGGACAAGAGGGTGTGGCACAACTTTTAAGAAAAAGTGGAATTGTGTGGTTGGTATTGAATTGATATGGTATGAGGCAAATATTGTAAGAAAGAATTGTAACCACCCAAATATTACCAAATATGGTATGAGGCAAACTTAATGGGACGGACGAAAAGGGTAAAACGGGACAAAGTTAGGGGGACGGAGGGAGTAATAATTAGAGTAATTATAATAATGCTAGGTTATGCATTTTTTGTTCTTGAGGAAAAAGCAACAATTACATGATATATTTTTTGTGAACTCTGTAGACGCAACTTCGCTTAGAAGCATTCTATGCTTTCAATGAAAGATTTGCAAAAATTCGTAGTACAAGGATTAAGAAGGCAGTCAAAGGAATGACATGCAGCCAGTCATTGGAGTTGATGGATGATACTGCAGATGATACACCTGCAAGGAAAAGGAAGCAAAAAGTGAAACCTAATGATGATGAGAAGGGGAACAACTTAAAACCTGGCAATGGTGATGAGAATAAGATTGCAAAAAAAGCATCTGGAAAGAAGGCAAGAAAAAGTAAGGGAGATCTTTTACAGAGTGAAGGGGCAGGTAGTAGAAAAAGACCCAAAGCAGGGGTGCAATGTCCGAGGGGAAGGCAGAGGAGGAAGATTTCTCATTCTAGATCTAATGAAACCAGTTCTGCAGATGGAATTGATAGTGATATGGGGGAAGCCATAGATAGTGAGAAGCTTGAACCGTCACATGTAAGAAGGGTAAGTTTTACTTTCTGTATCTACTTCATCCATTCCAAATTTTTTGAGGTTTAGCCCTTTTTGTCCCAAAACTGTTTCCCTTTTAGGAACCAAATTTGCATTTGTTTACTTACCTTCCAAACTTGCAAATGTTAAATTTGCTTACATTAAATGCTTTTATGCCTTGAAAATGTTAAATGCACTTCATATCGAACCCTATTAAATATAAACGGGTCGTTTTGTGAAACTGTAATATGTGAGCATTTCTCTTGAAGTCTAAACATAATAGCTCCGTCCCACCAAAAAACTCGTCATTTGACTACTGTGCAACCTTTTGATTTTGGTGAGGTATGACTATTATTAAGTATTAATCAATCATATATTTTGAATATATCATAACTTAGGCAGTTGGTTTTGGCAGTGTTGTAGCAAATTACATGTAAAACTAGCTTTGTTTGATCAAACAAGTCTCTTTTTTACCAAACAAGTGCTTGAAACAAGACTTTGAGGGTGGAATCTTTTTATAAAACCTGTACATAAAGTGGGACCTATGTCCTACCCTTGCTTTCTTATCCATATTGTGCTATTGTCACTGTTCACAAATTATCTACTTCCAATGGCCTTTTATGAATCCTGCAGTCAGTGCGGCCCCGGAAAATTGTGAGTTATACCGATGATCTAGAAGATGATGAGTACAGCAAAGTCGATTATTCTATCAGTGATGAACAGCTTACAGGAAGAGAGTCAATGGAATGGAAAGAAATGGAATCAGATAGTGTTCAACTGGGTGACGGTGAGAGTAACAATCCTGTGGAGCAATTATCCAAGGATTACCTCGAGTCAGGGGGCGGATTTTGTTTGGAGGAAGAGGATGAAACAAACAGAGGCTTTGGAGATGATAATACAACAACTCCACAGGAAAGTGCAGATTTTTCCCACCGGTCTTCTGATCGCGAAGATAATATTGAAACTGAGGTAAATGTTAATGAAACTGCAAACGAATATGGCTCCAAGGTGGTGAATTCACAGGACAACAATGATTTGATATTGGCTGCAAGCTCTCTTCGTGCAATGCCAAACCTGAGAAGGAAAAGGAAGATTTAGGGGGTGTTTGGCAAATGACTAATTGGCTGTTGGCGGTTGGCTGATTCTGTTGACTGATTGATAACAGCGGATTCTGTTGGCGGTTTTAATTAGCTGATAGTATTAGCAGTTTGTGAAACTGTGTTTGGTTAAATAGCTTTTTACAATCAGCTGCTAATTTGTTAAATGACTTTTAAGGACATAACTTATTTACTTATTTATTCATTCATTTATTTATTTATTAGTGCAGCTACTAAATCGTTTTTCATTTACTATTCAAAAAATAAATTTTATGAACAAAAGTCATAATTATTTTTAGGCTAAAGGGTCAAATAGGCCCCTGAATTGACTTAAAGTGTTCAATTAGCCCCTTATATAGGAGGTTCTGCCCGGCCATCGCCAATTGGGGCGATTCCCGGTGGAATTTTTTGATGAAAGTTTTTGAGCATCTTCTTCATTAAGTCTAGTTTACTCATACCAGATTTCAGCTAAAAATTCAATCGGGAAGGCAGTCAAATGATTTTCTTTTGAAGATAACTGCGAAGTTAAACAATGCAATACATTTCGGAGAATAATTTGACTGCCTTTCCGGTTGAATTTTTAGCTGAAATTTGGTATGGGTAAACTAGACTTAATGAAGAAGATGCTAAAAAAATTTCATCAAAAAAAATCCACCGGGAACCGCCCCAATTAGCGACGGCTGGGCAGAACCTCTTATATAAGGGGCTAATTGAACACTTTAAGTCAGTTCAAGGGCCGATTTGACCCTTTAGCCTTATTTTTAACAATCTTTAATATCCTAATTTCATTAACTATTTAACAAGATCAAGAATCCCAGCACAAATAGTTCTCCAAGGTTGTGTCTTTGGCTACTAGAACAAACTCATGTATTCTGCCACCAATTTCAATCTATCTCAATCTAGGCTCCTTTGGAAGTTGGTGATGGTCCCGGATAGAGGTAAAAGTCTAGAGGGGGGTGAATAGACTTTTAAAGCTTTTTGCAACTTTAAAAACTTTCCCTACTAGATGAGTTGATCTATAATCTTTTGGGAGATTAATAGATGCACAGCGGAAGTCTTTAACCTCTTGATGATTATTGTGTGACAACTTTCTAGCTTGAATAATGTTTGGACTTAGAACAGTGAGCAGTTGGCTTGGCAGTTGCCTGGAAGGCAGAAAACTGCTGAGGGCCTGAGGCTACTGCTAGTGGAAAACAGGAGTTTGGAAGAGATGATTATATGGCCTTGTTCAGAATGATGAAGACTTTCTGAATATGTGTAGAGCTAAAGAGAAGAATAAGGAGATTTGCCTGAGCAGAGGTCTGAGCAGTTGAGTAGATCCAGGAAACTGCTAAGCCGTCTGCTGTGTATGTAAGAAGTATCTTTAAGAATTGACAGACCACTCCTTTTAATAGTGATATTCAAAGCTCGTGTGAAACAGTTGTCTTAAGGAAAAGTGAGTTTTTAAGCAGTAGGATAAGCAGTAGAGTCAATTAAGACTACTGCTTAGGATGCTGCTGGCAAACTACGATCCCTTTAATGAGAAGTGTTGGGTGTGTGCTCTGTTGAGTAAAGGAGAATCAACACACGATATATCCTGGTTCAGAGGTGGTGTAATCCTCCTACATCCAGTCCCACCCTATTTCAGATAGATTTCCACTAAAGTATTAAGCCCAATACACTTAGTGCCAATCTAGCCTTTACAACACTTAGGCCTAGATTGAAGGTTTTTCACAATGAGTATAACACCACTCAAAGTTACTCAGTCCTTAGACTTTTTTCAATTGATCCAGTGGGGATCAAAAGGTACTCTATCTATCTAACCACATTTTAGGATCCGAACAACTGTTCTCCTAAGTGTTTACAACAACTTGTAAAATGTTTCACGAAATTTCTGGCCACCAACTAAAATCTAAGCTCTAAAAATATAATAATGTATGATCTAGTCTAAGAGCTTAGTGAAGCATGAGTCAAAGCAGAGAGTGAAGTTGTGTTCAAACACTTTCTCTTTTGCTGGATATTCTTTGTGTGATTATCGAATCTCTTTGCTTTGAACTCAATAACTTGTTTTTGAACTCATGCCTCTGCCTACTTTTATAGGCTTCTCCAGTAGATTAATCTCCTCCGTTGGTTGAGAGGATTTAATCCTTGACGTCCAAAGTATTGTACTTTCGTCTTCTTGTGTCAAGAGCAGGATAAGACTTTTGTCTTTGGTGCTGGTTGAGGATCAACTTGTACGTAGGATATGTTGGCCCATACCATAGGTCTTCTACACGCTGTTTTCCTATTAATTAGGCTTTGGCATTACTTTGCAACTGCACTCGTGTAGTAACCGTTCATTTAGTAAAATTGTGACTTTGAGTGATTTTGTATCAAATAAATTTTGTACTGGTAGGATTTTAAATATCCTATTAAGGTAAATTACCTTATTGCATTTTATTCTTTCCAGTACAACTTAATTGGTACAAAATATTACATTATTAATTTGTCACATATTTTACTAGTTGATCTTTTGACGTGACATGATTAATCTATGTATCAGATAAAATTATACTGGTTGGATTTAAACATCCATGTAAGGTAAAGACATTTTTACCTTATTGCATTTTATTCTTTCCAGTATATTTTATTTGGTACAAAAATTGTACATTTGTTGTCACTTTTGGTGGGTTGTAAAGTTTGATGTTTTAATGAACTCATACTTCGTTCTGGTAATACTAGAATATACGAGAATAGGAATACATATCATACTAGCCAAGAAGGGAAGGGCATCATCAAAATCTCTTATGTTGATCATCTAGGGAGCCTAACAGTTGGAACTCCAGTTTTTCTCTGGAATAACTCTACCATAGTGCATTTCTTTTATCCGTCCATCTCTCTGTTTTCTAACAATAGAGATACGACTTATATGCAACAATTCAAGATGAAATTAATGTGAAGAAGAAGTATACCTTGGAGCAAAAACAAATAGTTTAATTTGCTGAAGAAAATCAATTGATTTGGGTAAGTGAAGAAGAAAATTGCTCCAAACCTCCACTGTTTTTCTTTCTTTTGGACGGAAGATGTCAAAGACAAGAGCACGAAGAAGATACTGTAGTGGGTAAAGTTGGTAAATCGACTAAATACTTGAACAGCCGAGACGTAAACGCTAGGTTTTTCGGCTTTTTCCATTTTGGCCTTTTAGGAGAAAAGGCGAAGCGAAAAAGTCAATTAACCAAACACCTCTATTAGCTGTTTATCTGGTCAAAAAGTCAAATAGTGGTCAAATCAGCCAAAAAATTGCTGATAGGCCATTAACCAAACACCCCCTTAGTCTTCTTTATGTTTATTTAACGGAATCTTGTATAAATTATATGTTTGGGGCGTTGCATTCTGATAATTTTGATGGTTATTTCCATCCTTTTACATCTTTTAGCCTTACTCCCGTGTCAATATTTTCTTCCCTCTATTATTGTTCCATTGCGGTTTACGATGTTTGACGAACGATAAAGCACACAGATCACTGTCCGCACACAAATTATTTTTATAAAAAAAAATACATATTCAGAAACTACATTAAAAACCTTTACAAAGTCTTAAAAATCATAATTAAATTTGATAAAATTTTGATACTTAAAGCAAGAAAATAAGAGTCATTTGTGTTGAATAAATGAATAGGAACTGCGTCAATAATAGGGGAACGATGGGAGTAATTGATAAGACCCGAGGTTTCATCCTAAATGGTAACATGGTAGGAGGAGTAGTACAAAGCCTTATAATCTTATATAGTGTTTTACTCTTTTATAGTTTTTCGGTGTGGGACAAATGTTTTAACACGCCTCTCAGTCCGAATGGATTAGACAATATCGGGGTTTACAAATGGGCCAAACATATCCTTAACAAGCTACTCATAAATATGGGTGCTAAACAAGCAGTCAAACCAAAATCGGAATTGGCTCTGATATCATGATAAGATCTAGGGGTTCTATCCTAAAAGGTCAACTTGATAGGAGTAGTAACCCAAAACCTTATATAGTATTATATTGGGGAAAACTGTCAAATAGGTCCTCGAACTTTCATAAAAAAGTTAATTAAGTCCTTCTATAGGAGACTCTGTCCGGTCATTGCGTTTTGGAGTGGTTCCCGTTGGAATTTTTTTATGAATTTTTTTTAGCATCTTATTCATCAAGTCTAGTTTACTCATACCAAATTTCAGCTAATTGGGAGCGCATTCAAATTAATTCGAGAACGCAAAAATGCGCAGTTATCTTCAAGAATTAATTTGAATGTGTTCCCGATTGAATTTTTAGCTGAAATTTGGTATGAGTAAACTAGACTTGGTGAATAAGATGCTCAAAAAATTTCTCGTGTGAGACAAATACTTAAACATTGTTTTTTGAATCTGAAAATATTTGACAGCCTCGATACCAATAAGGGGAACTAGATTTGACAAAACAAGTTTAGAGAAAAATGATAACAATATTACCGTTAATAGTAACATCTACACTAATGGGGGAGCTTTTCCACAGGCTTCCACGAATAAGCTTCATCAACATCACATACAAGGATTAACCCGAATCCATGATCTGCCCATCGATTACCCCAGCTGTTTTGTACTTCGAAGCATTCAACGTTGTTTACTAACTGGATCTCAGTCGATAAACACGCGTGCCAAATGTGGTCACCAACAACACTACTAAGACCGACATTTTCATCATCGGCTCGTATAACCTCATACAGCACTTTTTAAGTTGGCACTCTGCCTCTTCTTAATGGCCCATTAAGAATCAGCTCTTGCTTAAATGTTTTTATGTAAGCTGGTTTTGAGCCGCCAAGAATCATGGCATTGGGCCTTTGGGCAGTAATCAATCTTATCCTTATCTGAGCATTGTTTAAAAGATTTTGAAAACGATTGAATCGTTCGACAGAGTAGCATCCCTTAATCCCATGTCTTCCTCTACATACATAGTTCTCCTCTAAAGCAACTCCATTTGTATTGAGAAACACTGCAACACGACTACCAGCCTCATCACTCTCAAAATCTAAAATATCTTAATCTGGTTAAGGGTCTAAAACATGTTCAACCGATAGTTTTCCATTTCTTTGTCTTTTTGTGGATGATACTTTCTTCGTCATGAGTTTGCTTTCTAGCAAAGCTAGAATAGTATGGATTTGACAAGTAAGGTAGGATGGAGCAAGTTTGATTCCAAAACGAGTAATTGCTGGAGCATCTATTCCCTCAACAATCTTATCAGCAAATCCAACCAGGGTCAGGATGAGTACACATAAGATGCACATCTTCGTTCTCTAGTTATAGGCGCAGTGGCTATCTGTTGCAGATAAAGAATCAAGGATTCTACCCTACTTTTCCAATCCATGTTATTCTAGCCTTGCTAGAAACCAAGCTCAGGATGAAGAAAGTATCATCCATAGAAAGATAAAGAATAGCAAAGCTATCAGTTGACACGTTTTAGACCCCTTATCAGATTCAAATATTTTAGATTTTGAGAGTGATGAGGTTGGTAGCCGTGTTGTAGTGTTTTTCAATACAAATGGAGTTTCTTTCGAGGGGTACGCATGTCGAGGAAGAAATGGAATTAAGGGATGCTACTCCGACAAACGATTCAATCATTTTCAAAATATTTTAAACAACGTTGTGATACCATGTTAAGGTATTCATTAACATGGTATCTCCTCCTATAGGGTTGACCTTTTAGGATGGAATCTCGGGTCTTAACATGGTATCAGAGCAAATTTGGTTGTGGTTTGACTACTTGTTTAGCACCCATTATTACGGGTAGGTTGTTAATGGTCTGTTTAGGGGACCCCGATATTGTCTAGTCTGGTTTTAGTTGAGGGGGCGTGTTAAAGTATTTGCCCCACACTGGAAAGCTATAAAACAATAAAATACTATATAAGGTTTCAGATTACTCATCATGTCAGGTTGACCTTTAGGATGAAACTCCGGGTCTTAACAGTAATACTGTTGATTCAATTTGTTTCCCAAGTTTATTTCACATTCTTTGACATTCGGTTACAAAAAGTGGACTCCATTATGCAAATATTTTAAGTTTAGGATAAATACAATATTCTTGATTGTTTGTAAAAGTTCTTTTCTAAGTATTTCACATCTTTTTGTCTCAAACAAGTTAAAAGTTGTGTTATCAAACATGTGTTTTTCCTAAAATAACAATGTATAAGATAGGAATGCGGATGCCCCAAGGCTTGCCTCTTGTGCGAGTTTTTTTTTGCATACTTAGTGTGTAGAAAATAATTGTATCACAACATGGTCAAGGACGTGTATCACAACAGTAGAACAGTTGCCGGGATAGACAGAAGAGATGACTTAGAGAGTGTTTGCCAACACTTATTTTAAGCAATTTTTAGCTTTTATAATATAAAAAAAGCTAGAAAAAGTGTTTGCTAATAGCCGTTTCTAATTTAAAAAAATACGGATTACTTTAAAGTCAAAAGCTCGAAGCTGAGATATACCAGCTTCTACGTGTTTCTAGGTATTCTTATAAATAACTAAAACTATTTGGATAATTATAATGGCAACAAAATTCACCCCAACCCCCAAAAACCCTGAATAATTACAATTGTATTGCTAGCATCCGTCCTTCGTTCCATCTTCATCTCCCAAAGTGTGACAGATATAAGAATTTTTGTACTAGCTAGTAGAACCGTACTGCTCTGTAATCGTCCTTCGTTCCATCTTCATCCATACAACTGTACTGCTAGACAACCGTATTGCTCTGGAACTCACTCTTCAAACACAAAGAAAGATAAACAGTACAAGAAGGGAAATCTGAAACATAAGTAGTGGATATAAGAATTTTTGAATTCTTACCTTCTAACCCTAGTGTAGCTCTGGGACTCGCTCGTCGAACACAGAGAGGAATGCTTGCTCCGATGAAAGAGACACACCTTAGGTATTTAATTATGGAAGGGTAAACTTGTACTTTCACAATCTACTCCCAAAAATCACTTTTTTTACCAAACACTTCGACTTCAATTTTTTTAACTAAAGACACTTCTATTCTAAACACTATCAACTTTTACTATTAATCACTTTCTCAAAAATCACTTAAACAAACACCTTTTAAAGCAAAAGCAAACACTCCCTTCATTGAGAGAGATGAAGGAGCATTGTCGTGAAGTTGTACGTGACGAGAGAGGTGGTTGAGTTGGGAGAAGTACGGAAAAGGAGATCGATCTAAGTTATTCACAGAATTGTATGGGTAAAACATGGGAAGGAGGCGGGTTCTTGACTCTAGCATTTCTATTCGTTTGGTGTTGCATGTTTTTCAGTAGAACTTCATGTTTGGTTTAGTTTTTATGATCAAACATTAGTTTGTTTTTTTAATTATTTTGGGTCAAGTTGAGGTCGGAATAGATGATGAAGAAGCTTATTCTGTCATTGTAGGCTCACAAGTACCCATATTTTGATTTGTGAGTAACATTGTTTTTCAAAAGGTGATTGATTTTATGCCTCATTGTAGACTTAGCGTTTGAGTCGGGATTTGTTGTCTTGTTGTTTGAATCAAGTTTCATGTGAGTTATTACAAGTCTTTTACAATACAAAATAAAGTAAGAAACGTATGCTTCTACTTAAATTTAAGCATTTTAAATTTAAAATCTATAAACCTATAAGTAGGGTTGCATAAAACAACTTTTTTTCTTTTTATAATGTCAAAAAGTATTTCATCAATTAACACAATCAATTTCAAATTTCTTAAAATCATATTTCTTTTGAGAAAAAGATTCAAATAAACTCTTCTATTTTTTCAAATCAATCACTTGAGTCCTTGTACTAAAAAAAATCTTAAAAGCGTGTTTTCATTGAAACGCGATCAATCCGACATTCCAACTATCTCGATCTCCTATACTAGGTCATTTTTGAAAAATTAATTATGAATATTTAAAACATTTTTTAAAACGATAAAAATGAACAAATTGAAAGAGAAAGACAAAATGGTAAAATTTCAAAAGTAGATACATAATTTTAAAATGTGAAACTAAAAACCGAAAATAAAAGTAAATACAAAAATAAATGAAATTGTAAAAAATATTAAAAAAATGTAAGAACTCTAAAAAAGATGAAGAATATACAAATTTTTCAAAAATCACAAAACGTATATTCTGACATTCTCAAATTTTTACAATTGCTATTTTTTAAATATAAAAAATTGCTATAACATGTCAAAAAATAGCTAAATGGATGGATTGGTTATTTTTAAATAAATGGACTTATATGATATTTTTCTAAACACATCGGTTTAAGTTATTTATTGTAAATAGTAGGATGGTCTCTTTAAACCTTTTCTTTCTAATTTTCATATTTTTAAATTAAAATTAATTTAAAAAGTGAAGCAGATATGTGAAATTCCTGAAATATGAGTAAAAACGTTTCAGAATTTCAATGTAGAAATGTCATATTTTTATTATCTAAATTTGAATAATTAATGTCAAGTTTGGTAAATACTGTCATGTTTAAAGTCTAGTATTGCCAAAACATGACAGTAATTACTCTTATTTAGTGAATAAAAACACAATAGTTCTATTTTGGAATACACAAACTTGTTCAATCCTATTTAGGGTAATTTCCCAAAAAGATATACACTATAGTAATATATAGTCTGTTTATAGTAATTTTAACAATTTTTTATTAATAAATTTTATTTTAGTACTTCCTCCATTTGGGACGTGCCATTCCAAAATTCTAATTTAGAAAACATTAACACTCTTAAATGATAAGTTAATCATCACATATTAAAAGTAATTCAGTTATAACATCACATTTACCATTGACTACTCTATGATACTCCATATTATATATCCATCCAAACTACTTTCTCTAAATATATTCAAATTGTCTTATTTAATTATTGTTTAAGAGATTATGTTAATTTTCTGTGAGAAGAAAAGTTGAGTCGGATGTAGTAATATTTAATTATATTTACAGTATTTTAATGATTTGATGAAATCGTGGGTTGACAAATATTGAAAGTCCACTGTCATTAGAAATAGAGATGACTAGTGACTACTTTTTCTCTATTTTGTACGGAGTATTACGTACTAGGTAACTATTTTGAGCTGAATAACGAAACTGATCTGAGGTGAAATCCGAAAACGCTGAAATGTTTCCAGGTTAGTCCCTACTCCCCAGATAAGAGTGGGGTCGTGGGGATATGGATAGCAGAGTTATTTCCGATTGATAGAGAAATTGGTGCAATGGCGACCCAGTTTGTGAGGAAGGAAGTGGTTCCCTTTGCGATAATGATGATGGTGGAGAGCTGTGAGATGTCGATAACGATTCTGGGGAAAGCAGCCATGAATGCCGGCCTCAAAACCCTCGTTTACATCACTTACTACAACTCTCTCGGCACTCTCCTCCTCCTTCCCTACTTCGCCTTCTTCCGCACCCACAGGTATTCATCTCTTATCTATCCTTCCTTCTCTTCCATTAGACCAAACTAAAGTTTATCTATTTTTCCCCAATACAGAACTCATCCTCTTCCGATTACCTTCTCTATTCTCAGTAGATGCTTCATCCTCGGCTTGCTTGGGTATTGTGTTCGTTTTACATGCTATGAGATCAGCTATATCTTATTTGGATAATTGGATATCATATGGAGTGAAGATTGATTCTATTTTAAGGCAGTGGGGTTTAGTGCAGGATTTGTTTGCTGCAGATCCTTGCTTATACAGGGATCAAATACACCTCTGCAACACTGGCCGCAGGAATCGGAAATTTGATGCCTGGTTTTACCTTTCTTCTTGCTGTCATTTTCAGGTATGAGAAAGAAAAATTATGCTCTTCAACTACGATCAATTTTTTAAACACTACAAGTTGAGTTATGACGTAAACCTATCTATATGTGTGCATCCTATCAGTTGGACATTTTTAGTTTGAGAGACTCAGAATTATGAAAAAGTTTGGAATAGTAATAATTTCACAAATCTCATGAAACTGTAATGAGAAGCAATATTAATATTCTCTCAGTCCCAATATTATCTTCATTTTTTCCTTTTCTGTCTGTCCCAATATAAACTCTTCTTTCTATTTTTGGCAAAACAGTTGTGGTTCAATGCATTTATCCCCATTTTATGTCTCCTCTACGCAACTTTAGGCCACACATTTCTCACTTTCTTAATCTGTGTGCAATCAAAACAAGAAATAATATTGGGATGGAGGGAGTATTTACAAGAGGATATAAGACTTCCTCTTAAGTACGGAACAACTGGAAAATATGAAATATATGAAGTACTACGTATAATACTAGTGTCTAGTGGCCTGTCGGGCCATATGCAACCATATACCTTATACACAAGTTAATACTTTAAGTTCCTATCAAGTTCTTAAAAAAAGTACTCCTATGATCCTATCTAATTAAGCCTAAAAAATGTGCTCACAAACTTCAAGACACCCCGGCTGTAATGATATACGTAGTATCATCTTAAAGGGCATATTAAGCCTAAAAAATGTGCTCACAAACTGTGTACTCATATAAAAGTACTAAAAACAAACTTGAAAACTTTGAGCAACTCCTAAAGGATGAATCCATGTTTTAATATACATGGTACGTACTCTAATTCATTGCGAGTGTTCAGTGTTTTTTCTGAAGTGGAATGAATTTATATATAGGATGGAGAGGTTAGATTTGAGAGAAGTTACTAGTCAGGCAAAATCGGTCGGTACAGTAGTAGCAATTGCAGGGGCCATGGTGATGACTCTGTATCAAGGACCAACCATCTTTGGTTCTTCACCTTCTTCTGGTTCACCTCATCCATCTCTTTTGTCACAAAACCCAACCTGGGTACTTGGAGGGTTCCTCATCACTCTCACTTGCCTTGTGTCTTCTGGATGGAATATTCTTCAGGTGATGTGGGGCCTAGATTGATTACCAGAGTGTTTTTCAATCCTTTTAGGTAGCATACCTGTGGTCTTTGCCCTGAAAAAACTAAAAATAATACGGAGTATTTGTTTAGTAAGCACTTCTATTTTATTTTAAGCACTTCAAAATTAAAAGCTAAAAGCAAGGAAGGTCAGTTCTTAAAAGTCAAACTTCTGCATCTTAAAAGTCAGTTCTACTTTAAAACTCTTATTAAACACTTTTCCAATAACCATGAAAGTAAATCACTTCAAAAAAACACAAGTAAACAAAATAGTGCTTTTATTCAGTAAAATAATGTTTTTTATTTTTAATCTATTATCTTTGGGTAAATACCTTCATCATTTTCAAGTTCACGGTCACATGACTTGGAGCCCATATGGTGCAGCAAATTTGGCAGAATGAGCTTAAGTTGATAATATTGTGGCTAGTTGAATAAACTAAAACTATGCTTTTTGCACAAATCCAAGAAACTGAAGAAAGTAATATCTAAAGGCTAAAGGGTCAAATAGGTACATGAACTAACTTAAAGTGTTCAATTAGCCCTTATATAGGAGATTCTGCCCGGCTGTCGCCAATTGGAGCGGTTCTCGGTGGAATTTTTTGATGAAATTTTTTGCGCATCTTCTTCATTAAGTCTAGTTTATCCATACCAAATTTCAGCTAAAAATTCAATCGGGAAGGCAGTCAAATGATTTTTTGAAGATAACTGCGCAGGCGCGCAGTTAAACAACGCAGTACATTTTGGAAAATCATTTGACTGCCTTCCCGATTTAATTTTTAGCTGAAATTTGATATGGGTAAACTAGACTTAAAGAAGAAGATGCTCAAAAAATTTCATCAAAAAATTCCACCGGGAACCGCCCCAATTAGCGATGGCCGGGCAGAACCTCCTATATAAGGGGCTAATTGAACACTTTAAGTTGGTTCATGTACCTATTTGACCCTTTAGCCATATCTAAAAGATCAGGTAATAGTGTCAATTATATCCATTTTAGGTAATTTAGAGATTTTGTTTGTGCACTGAACATGTGGATCTCTTTTATAACCGTTTACGTATAATGGTCTCGTATTGGTTCGAATGTATTGAAAGGGTAGGAGATGTATATTGTTGTAAATGCAGACAGCTACTTTGAAAGTGTACCCAGAGCAACCCACGGTAGTGTTCTTCTTTTGCGTCTTTGGAACCTTGCAATGTGTAATTTACTCTGCAATATTTGAGAGAAGTCTTGATGCTTGGGTGATGCTTCCAAGCATTGGAGTTATAGCCATTGTTTTCTCAGTAAGGACTACTTTTTTGCTAGTAAAATTTCAGTAAAGACTTAATTTTATAACAACTGATTAATTCTAGATTTAACACATACATTATAGGCTGTGTGTGGGACTGTGTTTCGTGCCAATGTCATAAGTTGGTGTTTGGAGAAGAAGGGTCCTCTTTATGTAGCTGTGTTCAAGCCTATGGGAGTTATTATTGCAGCAATTATGGAGATCCTATTCCTAGGATCTCCTCTTCATTTGGGAAGGTATATCTTCAAACAAGCTTTTGCAACATTGTCATTCTTCTAGGCCACTTATTTTGACTTTTTTTAAACTACTTACGTTGAGTTCACAAAAATGCGTAGAAGTTACTTGCTTTGTTAACAACTGAAATGCAGAGTAGAAACACTTCGATTTCATCCTTTAGTAGTATGTACTATATAGGACTTTGCAACGGTCTACTAGTTTTACTTTTGAAGAAGAAACATCTAATCTTGATACTTTATGTGTGTGTATAATCATGTTGCTGTTCAGTGTGATTGGAGCTATTATCAGTTCAGTTGGATTTTATACGGTGCTATGGGGGCAAGCGAAAGAGAAGGCAATGATCGCGTTTGCTGCTGTTGATCATGAATCCAAGTCATTAGTCAATAGAGCCCCTCTGTTGAAGTAAAATAGCATCTGATGCTCATTTGAAAACTTGCATTTGAAGTTCGGCTATTTATGCACATATATATATATACACACAGAGAGAAATCATCATGTCAGGCCTCCCTGACAGGGAGAGCTGTCCGACCGAGCCCTTTTGGTGACTTTCCCGGTGGAGTTTTTTGATGAAATTCTCTGAGCGTGTTCCTTATCAAGTCTAGTTTGTCCATACCAAATTTCAGCTCAAAATTCGATCGGGAAGACATTCAAATCATGTTTTGAAGTTGACTGCATTTTTATATGTATATTTTGACGCAGTCAACTTCAAAAAATGATTTGAATGTCTTCCCGATTGAATTTTTAGCTGAAATTTGGTATGGATAAACTAGACTTGATGAAGAACATCTTCAAAAAAATTCATCAAAAAATTCCACCGGGAAGGTGCCCAAACGGGCTCGGCCGGACGGAGGATCCCGTCGGGTCGGCCTGACAAGAAGAGTTCTCTCTCTATATGTGTGTATGTGCAGAAATTAAGGGTTTATGTATTCTGTATAAGCTTAATACATCCCTTCTGTAGTGTACTCTACAATAACATTTGAACTCCCATAAGGATTGTCTCACTTTCCGTTGTTCCTGGGATTGCATTTCGAAATACATCCGTTTACCTTGAGCCCTTATAATCCGTTTTCCTTAAAATCATGAGATCAATTGAGAAGTCGTTATGAAAATCACACTATCAAAATCATAAAATCAATTGGGAAGTCGTTAATAAAAATTAAAATCACACTATGCAAACGGCTGAGCAAGTTTTTCAATAAGTTATGAATAAGTTTTTTTAATTAGTAATTGGAATATTTAAGAAAAAAAATGATCAATTATTAACTAAGCAAATAAAAAGTTATAACATTGTTTGATGAAGACGTATTATTTATAAATATAAATATACAAATTATAATATACTCAAAAATAATGAACATTGATGGTGGAATAGATAAATGTTATTTACTTGCTTTTAAAAATGGAATTAAGGAAAAATTCACATCAATAATCTCACCTATTTGCATTCTTCTAATATTAATTCGATGTATGTATAATTCCAGAATAATAGATAACTCCAGCTACTAGCCTGCTCCTTCGATCTCATCTTCTTATCTTTTCCCTAGTCTTCTTCTCCTATTGTTCCTCTCTCGAGTCTTTTGCTCAACCGGATGGTTGAATAAGAAGCCTATGAAGAAGTTGTGTAAATAAAACAGCCAGCAGCCAACCTAAAAGAGGGCAGGCAAAAGCTCGTTCTCTTCTCTTCGTGGGTCTAAAGTAGTAATTTTTCTTGTCCGTCCATCTGAACAAATTTGGTTCCATACCCCGAAGTTTTTATCGAAACTGGATCGGATGTGCCGGTTTGTATTTCAAAATGAAGATATAGACGTGAATTCATGAATTAAGCGATTGGGATTAATAGAATAATACTTATGGGCTATGATTAATAGAATATTGATGAAATTAGAAAAAATAAAGAGATTGGAATAACTAAAGGGAGGAGAGGACAAAGATATACGAGGTGAAAAGAAAAGACAGAGTTGAAGGGAAGAAGAGTAGAAGAGAAAAGAAAGGGGAAAAGGAAATAAAAGAAAGACAAGAGAAATTAAAGGAAAATAAAAAAAATAGGAAATCCAATTAAAATAAGACACCTGGCCATATGACCGTCTGAACAGGGGCGGAGCCAAGGGGGGGTCAGGGTGGTCAGTCGACCCGGCTGAGAGTTTGAGAGAGATCTGAAATTTCTTCGATTTGATATATTATGGCCCCCGTAACTGATTACGAGTAAAAAGTTATGACTTCTGCAAAATCAGCACTATATAAACGTAAAATCAGCAAAATTTGATGAGTAATATTGATTTTTTTCCCAAATTTTAAAAATATCGTATAATTAACTCATTACTTACGTGACATGACTCAAAAATAGAGCAAAAACAGTCTCTTTTATTGTTACGGGTGCCTATTTATCTAAACTACATATAAAATATCCAACTCGGACATTGTTTGGAAGCGATCCACCGTTTTCATTTTGTATAAAGTTGATTCTCGACCCCCCTGGACCGTATTTCAGGCTCCACCACTGCGTCTGAACTGGTTTATTGATTTATTAAAGTCATGGGGTTGTTTTTGGAAACTACCCTACATAATTTAGATTATATTGGAATATATTTTTTTTTTTTTTTTTTTTTTTTTTACTCCAGGGGGGGTCTGGGGGAGGGGGGCTGGGGGGAGCCTGGAGTAATCAGGGCTGAAACTCACTCCATTGAGTTTCACACCCTTGTGTGCCTAGCGGGATTTGAACACGAGACCTCTCGCTAGGCACGGTAACCTCGCAACCAGCTAGGCTGGAGTGCTTGGTTAGATTATATTGGAATATAACATGAGAAGATCCTTAGAGCATCTCCAATGCTAAAACGTTAACGATGCATACGTGGCATGAGAAATAACCAATTAAAAAACAATAAACACAATATCTCTCTCCTTCTTTCCACGGGCTTATGTGTTTATGGCAAGTTTTTGTCTGCAATGTCAATCACAATGTCTACATCTAGACATTGTGCTTAACATTGTGAAGAAAAACTTACCAAAATGATGTAAGATCCTTTAAATAAGGGGAGAGATATTGTATTTATTATTTTTTAATTAGTTATTTCTCATGCCACGTGTGCACTGTTAACGTTTTAGCATTGGAGATGCTCTTAATAGATGAGTTCATGTGAATTTTTCTTTAAAAAATCCAAAATTCCAAAGACATGACTTGTATATATTTATAACACAAATATACGGGTGTGAATAAAAAGATAGAATAAATCTGATAATTAGTCATTCAATTAATTAGATAAAAATAACGTGAATATTGTCATAAATAAATCAAAATCTCTCTTCATTGAAAATGAGTGCATCTTTAAATGTAATAGTGCACAGATTTAGAAGTGGAAGTGTTGTTATTGGCACTTTTCACAACCACACTTTTTATTTTTTATTTGCACAACACGATACATGTTCTACAAGGTTGAATAGCCAACTCCAAGGGATTCTCACGATCCGATCCAATAAGGTATTTAGGGGGATGTTATGATATTTAGTTGACTAATTAATATGCTAATATTGGTCATGTAACTGAAGTTAGGGAAAATGGAAACTAATAATCCAACCTTTTATCGATCTTCTTATAATAGTCCCACCTTTTCGTTATTCAAGAATAATCTAACCTTTGCACCTCATCTTCATTTGCTGGTCCCTGATCGATTAATGACCTACTATTCCAAGTTATTTTCTTATCTTTGCAAAATATTATCTTTGTAAGAGGTGAGATTTATGGTATAATGGTTTGCAAAGATAATAAAATAACTTGGAATAGGAGGTCATCAATCGGTCAGGGACCAGTGAATGAAGATGAGATGCAAAGGTTGGATTATTCATGAATAACGAAAATGTGGGACTATTGTAAGAAGACCGTTAAAAGGTTGGATTATTAATTTCCATTTTTCCTTGAAGTTATTTAGTTCTACACATTTAATTGATTTAATAACAAGCTGAACATGTGTTTAAGTCTATCTGGGATTAGGGATCTCAACTATCTCCTCTATCTCTACATATATGTTTATTCCTTAGAGAATAATTCAGAGATCTTTACTTGTCAAAAATCTCATAGGGAAAGAGGCCAGAGTGGATACGAGATTTATTCTAGTTCATTCATCTATCATGGATCCAAGTATTACTAAATCTCGATCTATCAGCATATGATTATGTATAATTATATGATACTGATCTTGGAATTTAATTTTACAGATGTAAGTCACGGTGACTCAGTCAGCCCAATGATGGTAAACCTTGTATCCGTGTGAATCAGAGGTCACGAACACATAAGCTAGAATTGTAACGTTCACACGACCGTTCCTATTCGATCCTAGCTGATTTTCCAACTTTCTTATTATTCAACTAACTGAACTACCCATGTGATAGGGACAACACAATACATATGTGTCGATCGGTGGGTGTAAATATTTTGGACTTGTTTAGTTGTTTTATAGACGTGTCAATTTTCAAACAAAGGAGATGTCATACTCCGAGAGAAGCTTTGTTGATTAGAACGTATATTACGTAAAAGACATAAAAATTAAATTTGACACCGACTCTAAGACAAATAAAGTTCAAAAGATGTGGTGAGGCAAACTGCAATAATTGCAAGGATCTCAGAGAATTAACTCCCGTATTTAATTAAAGACTGATTAAATTATTGTAGTGATTTTACATCCAACTAAAAATTTATAAGCTTATGTGCTACTTGTATTTATAATCTACCTACTTTTTGAAATGGGAACATTTCTATTTATAATCTACCTATTTTTTTGAAATGGGAACATATCTACGTAGGTAGTATGAATTATACATCTCTATAACAAATTACTATGCAACACGCCTATTCTACAAGTTCAAATAATGTCAAAGCCATTCATTTAAAGAACTACACCAAAGAATTGTGATCATTGTATATGTCATTGTAAAGTATTTTCACATTTAGTCCCTGACTTTAGTGAAGGAGACAATTTTAGTTCTCGTCTTTTATTTTTCTCACATTTAATTTGGTGCATAACTAAAGAATATATGCCACTTTTGATCCTCATGTTGATTTTTCCGATCAACAACACACATGTGCGTGTCATTGATTTTTCCGGCCAACAACAACACACAGCTAAACCACATCTTACCAAGGACATATTGATACATGAATATGTGTGTATCTACGCCCAACCACCTGTAATTGCAATCACAATTCCTCCTCTTTCCGCCCTATCTATCCCCAGCCCAATATGATGATATATCATAATCTTGATAACAGGGATATGTGTGAATAGAAGGAAAGAAATGTGTTTTGTTGGCCGGAAAAAAACAACTGGAAGATCAAAAGTGGCAAATATTCCATAGTTGTGCACCAAATATGAGAAAAACAAAAGAGGGGGACTAAAATTGTCCAAGCCATTAAAGTCGGGGGACTAAAATTGTCCAAGCCATTAAAGTCGGGGGACCAAAAATGTCAAATATTCATTTCATAGTCGTCCAATTATTCGACGCTCATTACAAACTAACTAATATACTCACTTCACTTATGACTTATGAGTATCTTATCGATAAATGTTGCGTTCAAATCCTTGTGTTAGTATTACCCATTTCACAGATTGTTATATTGTTCAATAATCATTAATAAGAAAAATCCTTTTGTGAAATATTTTCAGATCACTTGATGAGTTGATGCTCAAACTTTCTAATTATTGTAACATTTATACTTACCAGTATCACTTAAACAAGTTAATGCAAGTACAAATATTTGTACGAAACCGTATATATTGCTTTCAATATGAAACTCATTTAAGCATTTGGACACAAGAAATCCATAAGGATCTAAAGAAACGTACATTTATAATTTATCATGCCATATACGGAGTACCTTTGAGATAATTATGTCTGAAGTAATAGAGAGTTAATTTATTGAGATTTTGTATTTGTATTTGTTTAATTTTTTTGAATACGAGTTCAAAGATGAAAAGAACATTATTTTCGATTTGTATTTGTTTAACAACACGAATAATTAACAAATCATCTACGAATATCGAATCGATTTGAGTATAAGTTAAATATTAGTCAAATACTCCGTATTACTTCAGAGTTTTTTTTTATATTGT